AATGATTGATTCAATTTTGCAATTAGATTTAAGTTATTAGAATTTGGTTTCGCTAAAATAAAACTACTGTTTCTTTATTACTGTGCAAAAAATTATGTAAAATAAGTAAGTGCAATAAAGCGACAAAAAAATACTTGAATATAATCTCATAGTTTACCACCCAGTAAAAATTTCATAAGACACGCTTCTTTGGCGACTCGCGCAAAGCACCCGTGATTACGCTCATTATCGCAGCATCGCATCTGAGCGTAATCTCGAATATAATTGCGGACACCTGACGAGAGAGCAGTTTCAGCAAGGGCGATTGCGCACTTGGTGCGCCACGCGCTAAGATAATTAAGTAAATCGCTTGCGGCGAAAATAAGATCAAAACGCCTATTTTAATTCGTCACGTGATTTTAATCGATTACACACTTATTACTGTACTTAACGCCATAAATTAGTCGTAAATATTGTTTATCAAAGTGTTTTGCATAAATTTAATTTTCTTCCGCGTTACAAATTAATTTTTTTTATTATCCCTTACGATCTAAATTGATGATCGCAATTACGTCAAAGCTATTACTCGTCAATGAAGTATTTCATGCGTAGACTTTTACAGGAACGTTATTTATAATATCCAGTTGATACTCAGTAGATTAGAAATTATTATCACCGACGTTATTAGAATAATAAAATATGATAGCGATATGTGCATCCTGAATAGCGAAGGGAGCAATGATTCAGCAGTGCAGTCGAGATCCCGACAAAATCGAGTCGCCGCAGCAGTCATTCGAGTCATTCGAGAACCAAGTCCATTACACGGTGTGTCCACGCTCGTGAGTTAGATTTAGGTGGATCTTGCAAATGAGCTTCTACCGTGCACTTGCCGTTTTGTTTCCTGGGTCATAAATATGCTCGCGAGGTGAACGAAACAGTTGGGGACGAGAGTGTGCGAGGGGGGAAAAAAAGAAATGGAGACACGCGAAGAAATGGAGGGAAGAGAAGGGAAGGAGAAAGGATTGGTCTTCTTCCCCCTTCGCGCGCGAGGGGGACGGTGCACATCGTATTTTCTGTTCGTTCATGCGGAATCGGCATGTCGTAGATATCGTTCGCGACCTTCTTCTCCCGGTGGCGCGCAGTCCGGTCTCTCAGCTTCGGTTAACGGTGCACCGGGCGCTCTTCTCCTCTTTCTCTCTCGGTTCATCGAGGTAAGAACGCGGCGTCTCGCGAGCCTTTTACGGCGTGCACGCTAAATCGTCGGAATATGTACCAATATAGGAAGGCGATATATAGGAACGGCGTAACAACGGCGCGCGGATGCCGCTGCAAAAGAAGCCGTTTATTATGCACCGCTGCGGCGATGGCAGCGACGATTGCATTTCGCGAATATGTGTATCGGCGGGGAGATACGCGCAACGATGCAACGCCGGCGGGGGGGCGAGTAAGTGAGAATTGCGCACGCGGTGCGACTTATCACCCAAGGGCGCGCTTTCGCGTTTCGCCGCGCGACAACCTGTTAGCACTGCGCTTCCAATTTTCTCTTCAAATCATAAGTATATTACGCGTACACAAAATATAATTTGAAATATAGACGTAATAAGCGTACACTGTATTGCAAAAGTTGCACTGAAATATCGTTTCAAGTAAGTTTTCTATAAAAACAATTATTTTACTGTACACCAGTAAACTTACAGTTTTTCTTTTTAATAATGCAATATATTGTTTAATGTTTTATTTATTGCATTAGCATTATTGATGAGATTTATTGATATAAACGATGAAAACTCAAAGCAAGGCATTTTTCATAAAATATCTGTTATGATTGCAATTTAATTTATATTTAATAATAAGAATTTATAGAAAAGTATTTATGCATATTCCTAAATTAAGAATATCAGGGTGAGTTTTTGAACTTATTAAATACATCTTTTCATTTCTGTTGTAAATAAATTACACCATTATCCAAGATTTTTATAGCCGAATATAATCTTTCTATTATAACTTAAAAGATATCTATTATCCAATATTTGTTCGCATAAATAGTTATTTTATTTGCGAGCAATTCATTGTTTGTTTTAAAATTGATTCTGTTTCAGCATCTGTGTATAATTGTATATAAATATAGACAGAGATATATAGATATAATATAAAAATCTTTTATATAAACCATATAGACACGCATCTCGTGACTCGTGACAATACCCATCCCGACGGCGCAGTTTTCGATTTGCGACAATCTGAGGACGACGAGCACACCATAATTTCCGATATTACTCCACGAGAGAGAGAGAGAGAAAGAGAGAGAGTCGCGCCGTAATCTCCATAGCGAAAAGAAACCCGCGCACGATGGGAGCGCGCGGTGTTCCCTGAATGGTGCAATAAAATTAGGCTACCATACATAATGCGTCCCGAGGCGCGCCACCGACAGACGGGACTCCCATACCTTCGCATTATCCCCGCGGTAATTCTCGGGTACGCGAAACGCATTAGTCATTTTCGCGTAGGGTGGAGAACGCGCGGGGAGCAGGAGAATAAGGAGGAGGACGAAGAGAAAGAAGGAAGGTAGAAGAGGAGAAGGAGGAGGAAGAGGAGGAGGAGGAGTTGGGAACTGACTTATATTCATCCACCTAATCCCCCTCGGATGATCAAAGATCCCCGACTGTTGGCGGCACCGTGGACGCGGGGCAACAACGACCGCCACCACTGGCGAACCGCCGCGCCGCGTGCAGTTTCTTCTACGCTGCCGCGCGGCGCATCGCGCCGTGGGGTAATACAGAAACGATCCGTGCACTTCCGACGAGCGATTCACGTTTTCCGCGGCGCGGCTACTTGGGAGGCGAGCCGGTTGAATTAACTTAGCCTAACGCCTCGTTTGCCGCGGCACCGCGTGCGCGCCTCGCCTCTGCGGTTGCGTGCACGTATGAACGTATGTATGTATGCACCTCGCATGCGTCTGATGCGTTCCGCGTATGTACGTGTATAACGCGATGCATGCGTCTCGCGTCGCACGCACACACGCGTAGAGAGCGCGTGGAAACGCGTTGTTCGTCCCTCGCGGTGGCAGCGGCCGCGCGAGAGAGCCCACTGGACAGGGGTAATAAAGCAACAAGACAATGACGGTGATTTACGCGGTCCTACGGCAAATGGGCTTACCCGTAGATTTTTGCGCGGGCAGCACGCGCGTCGGCGCGAGAGAAAGGTGGAGAGAAACTCCGCGCGCGATTTATTAATCTCGCCCGTGCGACACGCACGCAGATGCGACTCGGCTCGGCGGGACTGGACGCAGGACGATGCGGCGAGACCAGATGCTTTGATGCTGTCTGTGGTGCTGAGGGATTATTTATTTAATGTAAAATATGCGGCGATATATCTATCGAGCTCTACGAATGCATCTGAGAAATGCGATTAGAATATTTTTCACGTATAATGCTCTACAACAAATAATTTTTCAGGCATTTTTCTTTCTCATCCTCTGTAAATAATTTATTACAAAATAAAAATTGAAATAGTTAAATAATTTTCTTGCTTCTTGAAAAGAGAATTTTTTTGAGAAAGAAAGAGGGGCCTTGATAGCAAAAATAAGACAAGACTTCGTTTATACATATATAAAAATACTTATGCCTCTCGCTACTGATCTGCAACTGATTCACAAAAGACTTTTTTGCGACGAACATAGCGGATGAGCGCATTTCATAGTTAATCACGGTTGTACAACAGTGACATATACATGTACATACATACGATGTATCGCAGATACTATTGAAAAATTATGATACGAAACCTCTTATTTATAAAAACTGTATGTATACATTCGAACATCAATAGAGAAATGTACAATTATATATATATGCAATATATGCAATTATACAATAATTTATACAATTATGTTCTTATACATTATGTTAAACAATTTATAATTTAAAATTGACGTATCTCAAGCAAAGTATTAAGATATTGAACAATTTTAAATAAACTTGCAATATTGGCCAGTTTTCAAAAAAGACTTTAAGAAGTGCACGAGGATGTTATCATTGTATGTCTTATCAAAAAAACAATTTATAAGAATTTCGTAACCAACGAACCACGCGCACGCTTTTATCTATAATTGATGAAAATTACAAAAAAGCATCTACTTTTAAAAATACTTTAAGTAGTCGAATTTGTAAGACAAAAAATGATAAAATATCAATTTTAAATTTTTCTGACATTATCATTTTTCAATTGCAAACGTAAAGACCTGTACAATTAGCTTATGATGCAATATTAAAACAACTATTTAATTACAGAAATATAAAAAAATATTTGTTGTCCAATATTTGTTGTCCAATAAGTGAATTTTTCAGATTATTAGGTTATCAACAAATCTAATATCAAACTTAATAAATTCATGCAAATACAACGCAGCAGATTAAATATTTGATAGATTATTTATAATTTTTAATGGCTTAATTGATTAATCTTGATTAACCGTGTAATATATTTAAGCATATAGTAATTACAGTGTAATATAATATACTGATTATTCCGTCATGTAAATCTTAATTTGCAGAACAAGTTTTGAGTTAGAATAAAATAAATTATATTATATTTTTTAATAATTATATTATATTTTTTTAATTACTTTGGTAAACGTCATATTTTTAAAACGTTATGAATATAATTGTAGCATGGCAAATAATATTGAAACAGCTCTTTTGATTACAAATATCTTGAAGTTATGATGTCATAAATTATTTTAAAAAATTTGAAATTATGTTGAAGAAATTATGAAAAATAATTCTTTTTCTCTTTAGAAATTAATAATTTTTTAAAATCGTCATATGTAAGCAATCAAATTTCATTTCTTTCATTTTTGACTTTTGTATATAGATAAATATTTCAAATTACGCGCACTAAACAAGCACTAAACTAAAAGTGCATGTAATTGTTGCACAATAGTTTTGTTTATCATTGGCACGTGTAGTTTGTGTGGAGAGGGCATAGGTATAAATAGCGTTTCCGCATAGCTCGATACATTCAAAAAACGTGCCTCAAAGTTTGCGAACATTTGTTAAATGACAATTAAAATGTTACCATCGATTGTCTATTCTTACATTCTGCTATGTTTTATGACATGGATAAAGCCTGGCCAACCATTCTTCTTCTGTTCTTGTAAATATGCTGTCTGTTTTTTGTATACTTTGTTTAATGTTATATGTAAAAGTGTAAGATTTTTGAACATATTTTATCCAGGTAACGGAAATATAGATTCAAAGTTCGCGAATGGTATCAATCTGGTTCATTATAAATGGTTAGTATCGATAAAAAAATTCCCAAACCATAATTAGCAATAATAATATAAACAAGCATTTTTTAGTGACGGAACAAACACCTCTTATCCAATTACAGCACCACAAGATTTGTTAACAGTATTAGATACAAAACGAACAATTTTTTACATTTTTGGATACCTGCAATATCCAACCCACCCTAATGTCCAGTTAATGATAAAGAGTATTGCATTTTTATAATAGACAAATTGTTATCAAATCGATGTAAGATTGACGTAAATTGAAATTTTGTTTGTTTGTGTTATTAGCGCTTTGTAAAGGAGGAAAGGACAACGTTGTGTTAGTTGATTGGAGCAAATATTCTAACGATACTTTTTACCCACTCGTTTTCTATAATGCCCAAAAAGTAGGGAAATTATTTGCTAGAAGTTTAGAGATACTTGTGGCAGCCGGTCTCGATTCATTCAAGATTTATATCATCGGGTTTTCAGTGGGCGCACACGTAGGTGGTTTTGCTGGTAAATGCAACAACTTCACGATACCTCGCATAACAGGTATATACATAATTAAGTTATCTTACATTTTTTAAATGCGTTTGTTTGTTGTTTCGTCTTTTTGTGTTATAATATTTAATAATTTTTTTATTTTTAATCTTAATTTAAGCTAATTAATTTATTTTTAGCTAATTAATTTATTTTTTTATTTTTTTATTTTTAATTGATTCTTGAGAGTAAAATGCAATAATATTTTTTATTTTCTATATATTCTTAGTTGTCACATTAACAAGAAACTGACAAGAAAGTCCGTCAAAGAATCTACCGTTGTAACCTATAGTTTTATACAGTGCACGCGCGTAACTCTAAAATTTTTGTTACTGTTCTAAAATGTTCCTCAAAATAAAATTATTATTTATAAAGGATTGGATCCTGCGAATCCTTTTCTCTCTCTTTGCTTGGGATGCTATCTTTCGTCTGACGATGCGGAGTTTGTCGACTCAATGACTTCAGGCATGCCTGTATTTGGCTCTTTCCCGTTCCCACGGATGGCAACAGCGCATTTCTTGTTAAATGGAGGCTATTCGCAACCGAATTGTTCATTAATTTCCTTGTTGACTGATCCAACTAATCTATTACCCACAGGTAATAATCAGGGAAAGTTATTTTTAAAAAGTAACTTGTTAGATACCGTTATTCGTTGTCCATTGAAGAGAGGTAACTTGTTATCGTTACTCAAAAAGTATTGAGTTATTATTACAATTACAATCCATTATTTTTTCGGAATTTTTAATCCTTTTTTTAGAGTGACATTCAATTATCTATATCGCTAATTGATTAATTCAACATGAGGTTTATAGTGGTAGTGGTTAATCGCAACATGATCATAATTCATTCTTTTAAAATTTCCTTATGCACATTCCATACATGTATTGTACATACGCGTACAAAAGTAAAAATCACGATTATTTTCAATACCCAATAAATATAACTGCATTACCGTTACTTTACTAATACAAGAAATATAACGTCTTTATCAATTCTAAAATAGTTATAAAAAACAATAACTATAACAGTAACAACGTTATAAATAACGCGTTACTTCCCAATCCTATTAATCTATAAATATTAATTTTAGTCTTCATTAAATAATTATTTTACAGTAATTTTTGTTACATTAATGACGATTAAAGTTAAGAGAGTTAAAATTTCCTGACAATTATAAGATATATATTTTATTAATTATATGTACTAATTTACTAATTCGAGCATCTTATGAATTTCGTAGAAAATGACTTAAGAAACTATTACACCGTATCCACACAATACGTATAAGACAAGTTTTAAAGTTTTAGATTATTTTATTCTTTGATCTAATGGTTTTTCTTGTTATCACCAGTTTTCTGTAGCCATAGAAGAGCAGTCGAAGTATATGCATACTCGGCACTTAATCCTTCCAAATATAATGCAACATTATGCTCTATTCCACAACTTTTGAATAGCTGTATTAATAAGAAAGACAAATGCACGGGCAAACAATATTTGGTTGGATACAACGCAAGCAATGTGTAAGATATTAACAATGTGTAAATATATTAATTAATTCCTTTTTTATTTTTATTTTTGTATAGTATTATTACAAATATTATTATTCGCATTAATATGTAACTTATGAATTTTTTGCAGGCCTGGATACTTTTATGTCGACACCAAGGGGCAGTAAGAACCGATAATTATATTATTTGCAGATAATCTGTCAGATAATAATTCATATTTTATTTAATTATTTTATGTAAAGATAAAGGTATTATTTTTAAATAATAATATTATTACTTGTAATATATAATATTACATGTTTCTTTTTAAAAAATCGGATTGTTCATTTTAATAAAAACTGTCTAACATGAAGCGGCGATTGTATTTTAAAGTATCTGTTATAATGCAACACGTATATATTTATTGTAGTAAACAATGTATATGTATCAAATATAAATAAAAAATACTGCAGATTCAGCAAACTATTTTTTTACAATTTATTTAATCAATTTGGGATTGTTTTTTCTTATTAACAAGACATAATAATAACAAAACATATTAATACAAGACATATTAATATATTATCTTTATATGAACAAGCTCTAATAATTTTTATGTAATTTTAAATGAGACGTTTAATATTAAGTTATCCGGAAAATTATTGGTTCGCAGTTTTCTCATATCTGCGTAGATACCAGTTTGAACTTTGCGCTAATACTGAATGAGGAAATCCAAACTTTAAGCCCCATCTACATAAGTCGCAAACGCGGAGAAAAAAAGAAGGAAATGTTAAAAAAAAGAAAAGAAAGAGAAAAACGTCCGCGTTTGCGTTTGCGACTTATGTATGTAGATGGACCTTTAAATTGATAAGAAAGAGCAGCCTTTTGTTTAAACAAAGCATGCATCTATAATGGCATATGTTCAGTATATTCGATTTTAGTCTTAAAGATGGAGAATTAGAATCAACATTTTTGCAATATTATGCTTTTCTACTGGAGAAATGGCAAGAACGCATGCAAAACAGCACGTAAAATTTGTAAAGTTTTACGGATAAGATACTGTTTCTGATGATACAATTCGGTGATTTGTGAAATTTCAACAAGGTAATTTCACTCTCAAAGACGAGGCGCGATCTAGGCGTCTCTGCACTGTGAATGATGATCTACTGGAGCAAGCATCGTCAAAAATCCTCGATATATAGCACAAGAACTGGCAGAGAAATTATAAATTGTAAAAAGTACCACACATGATCATTTAAATCTGTCCTCATGAGTGAAAACCGCAGAAGTTTCCTGATGATCCAATACTTACATGCATATAATTCTTTTGAAGATTTAAAGAAAAAGAGACGTATCTATTGTAAATTAATATTATCATATTTAAAATTAAACTCACGTTAATTTGTCAATATTTTAAATCAAGGAAAAGAATTAATTAATCAATTAAAAACTTAGAAATATAAATTCCATAGTCAACTTTATTATACAAGGATAAAATAGCAAAAATGTATTACATTGCTTCAGTTAAAATGTTTAAAATTTATGATAATATTTACTGTTTCTGACATATTTATTAATTCCAATAGTAGTAACTGACGGACGTCCAGAAACTGAAGTCGAGATCGAGCATGTTGAGTTCTTGTTATTCAAATATTTCAGATAATAAGATCTTATTGTCAGCTATAAGTTCGTACATGGAAAGCACAAACTTGTTCGTATAAATGGAATGCTGATAAACGATGTTTTATTGTACGTGTGCGTGTGTGTGTGTGTGTATTGAGTTTCCTATTTTATAAAATTACTAAGAGAATATGTATACTAAGTGCTACGTATTTCTATACCTTTCTATTTCTAACCTAAGTTGTTAGTAGCTTTAAAATAAAATAAAACCTATCCAAATGGAACGCAATTTTTAAAAAAGGTATAAAATCTTTAAATTGCGGTAATTATAAAGACAGCTAATTATATATATTATAATGATATTATAACAAAATGTTGAAAAAAGGCATCAAATGTAGGCATTTCTTGAAGCAAAAAGCCATTGTATATCAAATTAAAAAATAAAACTCAAATGACACGTATCTTTATACTATTTTTAATCCAAGTGATAGTAGCTTTAAAATTTAAAGGTCTTCTATTTCTATAGCCCAAGTGATAGCTTTAAAGAATCCAAGTAGAAAGTATTTTTTAAAAAAGATATGAACTCTTTAAATTGCGCTAATTATAAAAAGAATGTATATACATTATACACTAAGTAATGTATACCTCTGTATCTTCCTATTTCTAATCCAAATGGTAGTAGCTTTAGAAATAATAAAACCCAAGTGATAAGTATTCTTTTAAAAATAAACTTTTACCTCACGATATAAATTTTACTAAATACAATCATAATATCGATTTATATGAGATATTTCAAAGTATGTTGCCACATAAAATATATTTGAACATATGTATATTTCAATGAAATGAGAGTTCATCACAAAAATTAGAGGAAACTGAACAAAATAAAATTTATTTTAAATAAAATATTTTTTATGTAAAACACTTGGCGGTGTTAGACATCCAATAATATATTATTACTGCGAAACTTCCGTTACAATATATAATATGATATTTCTGTTCGTAGGGCACGTAGAGGAAACATAGAAACACTTTATTATGTAATTTAAACAAAATTATTGATTGAATCCACTCAGAAAATTCAATTAGTTTAGTCGTTATTGAGATCTGATAATTTTGGACACTAGCAACTCGCCGGATCGCGTAAAGATAGGTACACGGTTCGGTCTCGCGTACATTTTAATATAACCGTGATGCAATAATAAATGTAATATGCAATTATGTCTTGCAGTATTTTGGACAATTTATAATTAAAACGTACCGCAGCCAAAGGATTAAGATTGAACAATAAATTAAATAAATATAAATATTTTATATAAACTTCAAATATTTAACAGTTTTTTAAAAAAGACTTTAAGAAGTGCACGAGGATGTCATCATTGTATGTCTTATCAAAAAAACAATTTATAACAAATTCGTAACTAAAGAGACATGCGCACGTTTTTTATCTATAATTGATGACGTTACAAAACAGCAACATTGACTTTTAAGAGTACTTTAAGTAGTCAAATTTTCAAGATAGAGAATGGGGAAATACCAATTTTAAATTTTTCTGATAAGTTTTTGACGAGGAACTAAAAAGAACTGCAGTATTAAGAAATATTTAACTTTTAAGTAAGCGTTTGTCTATAAACTTTATATGATTTAAAAAAATTTATTAAATCATGTAACAAGTCAATTAATTAAAGCATTTTAAGATTAAGATTTCTTACAAAGTATGAAGTTAGATTTATTATAAAAGACTTAGAAATATGACGTGTGTGAAATTATTCATACTAAAATATCTTAAATATAATATTAATTTTGGATTAATTTGAATGAATAAATTTTGATGACCTTCAGATGCATTTATTAAATTTGAGAATAATTGAAGTGTATAAACATTATCATTTTTTAACTGCAAATATAAAGATCTGTACAATTAGTTTATAACGTAACATTAAAGTGTAACTACACTGCTAAAAAAAAATTGGGATAGAAAAATTTTGGGCAAAACTTGATCAACTTCGGTTATATTAGCTCCGCGAAGAATCATCGTATGATGATGAATTTTTTTCAAATGAAAGCTTGAAATCTCTATTTTAGGGTACTATAGGTCGATTTTAAATTTAATGCACTCCTGCTACTGTAAATTCTAAAATCTGATAGCATTTGTTATATTGAAAATTGTAAAGTTTGACGGAGTGCGTGGATTTGCAAAAATTTTTCTCGGGAATGCGGTTTGCAGTGTCATAAAATTTGAATCTTTCTCTTTAATTTGAAAAAAAAAAAAAACAAATTGCTACGATTTTTTCCACAAAGTTATAGCATTTTAAAGTAACCTTTGTATTTTTCTCATGTATGGTCGGCATTATCCGATGTGCACCATAGGGAGATTGGCAATCGGATTTTGTACACTGTGTGTGTATGTGTATATGTTTTACATACGCCCACGTATACACAATGTATAAAATCCGTTCGCCAACCTCTCTACGGTGCACATCGGGTAATGTCAACTATACGATATAAGAAAAATACAAGAATTACTTTAAAATGCTGTAATTTTGTGAACAAAAATTGTAGCAACTTGTTTTTTTTTCAAATTAAAAGAAAAGGTTTCATTAAAGGGAAAGGTTCAAACTTTGAGGCTGCAAACCGCATCCCCGAGAAAAATTTTAGCAAGTCCGTGCATGCCGTCAATCTTTGCAATTTTCTGTATGGCAAACATGCTCTCAGATTTAAGAGTTTACAGTAGCAGAGATGCATTAAATTTAAAATCGACCCACAGTACCCTAAAGTAGATATTTCAAGCTTTCATTTGAAAAAAATCATCATCTGTATACAATCATTTTTCGAGAAGTTACTGTTAGTCGAATTTGACCAATTTTTGCCCAAAATTTTTCTATGCCATAATTTCTTTGAACAGTGTATTTAACTGTAGAAATATAAAAAAGTATTTACTGTACAATCTAAATAGTTGAAGATTTTCCAGAGCCATTAAGTACAAATTTAATATCAAACATAATAAATTCATAGCGAATACAATAGAGCAGATTAAATATATATTTGATAAATTATTCATAGTTTTTAATAGCTTAATTGATTAAACTTACAATGCAATATATTTAAGCATATAACAATTATAGTGTAATATAATATACTCTGTGTGTATGTGTAAACATTTAATCATGTAAATCTTAATAATTTTTAAGAGCAAATTTTTATTGAAACTGAACATTTTAATAGTATATATATATATAATTTTTGAGATAGAATAAAATAAATAAATAAATTATATTCTTTAATTTGGCACACGTCATATTTCTAAGTTTTTACACACATATGATTGTAACACGGCAAATTATATTAAAACAGTCTTTCCGATTACAAATATCTTGAAATTGTGATAACGTTATAAACTATTTCTAAAAATTTGAAATTAAATTAAAGAAAAATTACAAGAAATGATAATTTTTTTCTCTTTAAAAATTTTTCAGTAAGTTTTTTCAAACTACGTGAACAGTTAAATTTTATTCTTTTGTTTGTGACCTTTTGTATATAGATAAGCATTGCATATAGATAAGCATTTCAAATTACTAACGCTAAATTAACTAACGTTTAATACAATTATTTTCATTTCATTATCGCCATGTACAGTTTGTGGGGAGATGGCACAGGTATAAATTGCGTCTCCGCGCAGAATATCGATACATTAAAAAAACGTGCCTTAAAGTTGTCGTATTTGTTAACTGACAGTTAAAATGTCACCATCGATTGTCTATTCTTTTATTTTGCTATGTCTTATGACATGGATAAAACCCGGCCTGTTTCAACAACCAACCTGTAACGTTCCACCTGAACAACCAACCTGTAACTGTAAATATACAATTTGTTTTCTATATATTATATTTTTTAACACTACGTAAACGCGTAAGATAATGTCATTGAACGTATACAGGTAACGAAAAAGTAAACCGACAGTTCGTGGATGCTATTAAGCTGCGCCATTTTAAATGGTTAGTATCGAAAAATTCCGAAACCATAATTAGCAATAATAATAAACAAGCATTTTTCAGTGACGGAACGTTTGCGAACACCCCCTATTCAATTACATATCCACAACCTATGTTACCGAAATTAGACACGAGAAAACAAACAACTATTTATATTTTTGGATTTCCACAGACTATGGAGAGCAATGCTACCAAGATAATGATAAAAGGTATTTTATTTTTATAATAAACAAATAAATTATTATAAAATCAATGTAAGATTATGTAAATTGAAAGGAGTTAAAAAGGGGCCGATTTTGGCCCCCAAAGATATAAGTAAAAATAGTGTTTTTTGTAAATTTTGATCTCTTGAATATGATAGAATCATTAAATAGTTCTATATCGTATTCAGGAGATCAAAATCTATAAAAAATACTATTGTTTTTACTTACACCTTTGGGGGCCAAAATCGGCCCTTAACTTCCTCTTTCCTTATTAAAGAAAAAGCCGATTTTGGTCCCCAAAGGTGTAAGTAAAAACAATAGTCTTTTTTATAGATATTGATTTCCTGAATACGATATAGAACCATTAAAAAGTTCGTAGCGCTTGGGGAACACCTTGAAAATTGAGCATAAACACAGCGTTTTTACTAAATACGCTGTGTTTATGCTCAATTTTCAAGGCACTACGAACTTTTTAATATTTCTATCGTATTCAGGAGATCAAAATTTATAAAAAATACTACTATTTTTTACTTACACCTTTGGGGATCGAAATCGGTCCCTCTTTAACATCCTCCCTTATTTAAAAGTTTACTGACTTTAACGAAAATGTCGCAAAATGAAAAAGAATTGAAGGTCTTGCCGCAACAGTGAGCCAGTCCACATTTTATAACTTTTTATAAAAATAAATAACGGAGAAAATAAATTTTTAAAAATTTACTGACTTTAACAAAAATGTCGAAAAAGAATTGAAGGTCTTGCCGTAACAGTGAGTTAACTTACATTTTATAACATTTTATAAAAATGAACAACGGAGAAAATGAACTTTTTAAAGTTCATAACTTTAGTGTTTATTTTCTCTGTTGTTACAAAATATGGGTTAGAGCCCACTGTTGCAGCAAGCTCTTCAATTGGCTCACATCTTTGCCACGCCGTGACGATCGCTCAAGCAATAAATCGTAATTAACTTACATCCTTATCCGTTTTAAA